TGCTGGCCATAAATTGCCCGGCTTCTGTCCCCACAGAGTAAGTATTTGGTCTGTCTGCTCGGAATTAGCGTGCACTTTCTTCTTCCCTCCAAGTAGGCCACTCCTTTGTGAACGGTGGGCATCAAACAGCCATTAAAAAGGACTACACGTGTGTAAAATGCAGCTCTTAATATTTCTCTGGAGCATTGAGTCATATTATACAGAATTATAAAATACTATCAGAAAGGGGCACTTTACATATCATAATAGTCATTTTGTAAAGTTCAATTTGGCAATTCTAAGCCACATTTAATTTTCTCCGAAAATTCCCAGGTGGCAGGAAAATATTGCTCTTTGTGGCTTTCCTGTCTCTTTCAGGGAACGGGTGAAATGACAACCTTTTAGAAGTAGCACTTCCTCTATAAGTAGGCACTAAATTACTTATACCAAATGAAGCCACATATTCATTTACATTAAAATAAATGCTAAAATAATAATAAGTAATTTTCCTATATAACCATTCTGGGATTTGTGCAAATTAGAATTGTGCATTCTACCTTAGTATCACTTAGAATCACTTGTAATTCTTCATCTTCACTGATAGGTGGAGCTAGTAATTTCTGTATTAATTACAATATTTTAGCATATTAAAATCTATATCTAGATGAAGCAGACACTTCAAAGCTTCAAAACTGATGAAACTGCATACTTCTCTTTTCAGGGATAAAACCATTTGCATTAATATGTGAAATACACTATTAACACACCCCCTGCTGATTGCATGTGCTTTGTAGGGAGTAATGCATAATTTTCTGAAAATGAAAAGACTGAGAATCAGATATTTATGATGATAAAAATTAGATCTCAAGAACTATAAAAACTTGGAAGATTCTCCTAAGATGGAATTTTTTTTATTCAGTTCAACAATTATTTAACACATACCAGAGGTACAATATAGTCAGAAGATCTGAGTTTGAGACTCGACTGCACCCTCACTGGCCCTGTAGCAGTGCTCACTGAATATCTCTGTAAACCTCCATGAGGGATTCAAATGAGAACAAAGGGAAGTAACATGGGAAACTGCTTTGTCAATAGGTCATAACCTCACAAATGTTGACTATTTAAGATGGCATGGTATAAGACAATAATTCTCATATTTAGACCTGGGGGCACGTTCTTAGGAATCCACATTCTCCATGGAAATGTGTTTTTGTTCTTTTTAAAATTTTGTTTGGTTTTTACGCTGGTGTTAATCTTTTAAGGAGTTCATGTGGGCACATTCTGAGCCATCTGAACTTTCTCCTGATTGTTGCTATGCAACCTGTGTATTAAAGATGACATTCGTGCCAAGTAATTCCACTTCAGTTGTTTCCACCCTAATGAAAATAGACCCAAGCAGACTTATTATGTGGCTTCTATGTTCCTTTAAGAGAAAAGCAAGAGACAATGGCAAGCATTCTGCACAAAGATTTGGTGTTAGTTTGGATCCAGAAAACTGATAAGAAAATTCAATCATTACATGGCACATTGGTACTGAACTTTTTTTTTTTTTTAATTTCAGAGAGGAAGGGAGAGGGAAAAAGAGATAGAAACATTGATGATGAGAGGGACTACCGGGGTCCAACCCCAGCAGGTCCAGAGGTCCCCAAAGGTGTGGACGGAGTCAGCGAAGAAGGAATGACATGGAGACAGCGTTCAGTTGATCAGCAGCCTAGCCAGGATCTCCAGCGAAGTTGTGGTCAGGATCTCCAGCGGAGTTCTGGTCAGGATCTCCAGCAAAGTTCTGGTTAGGATCTCCAGCCAGGTTCTGTGTCCATGTTCTCTTGCTAGATTCTCCAGGTTCTACAGCCAGGTTCTGTAGCCATGTTCTAGTCAGGTTCTCTTGCATTGTTCTATCCAGGTTCTGTAGCCAGGTTCTCTCTAGGTTCTGTCTCTTAGTTCTGTTGCCAGTTTCTGTCCAGGATCTTTTGCCATGTTCTCTCGCTAGATTCTGTCTCTAGGATCTGTTGCCAGTTTCTGTCCAGGATCTTTTGCAATGTTCTCTCCAGCGAAGTTCTTCTGTCTCTAGGTTCTGTGTAGGTTCTGTCTTCTAAGTTCTGTCTTCTAAGTTCTGTCTTCTAAGTTCTGTGGGTTGCTGTCTTGTTACATCTGTATTTATACCAGTTGGTTCAATCCTATCAATCTCTATTCCAAAGGTTAGGGCGTTTCTTATCTCCATTCCAGGGAGTAAAAATTATGTAGCTTAAGCATGATTGTTCATAGTTAAAGTGATTAATTACCCGCGTGGCACATAGTTAAGAGGTTTTATTCCCTCCCTAACTTCAGGGGAAAATCCCTACCTGGGGAAACAACCTTTCTCAGAGACCTTGGTTAAAACACATAGTGCCAAGAAGGTGAGCAAACATATTAAGAACAGTATGCCATATATGCCAGGTCCCTTGAAACAGCAAGCATGGACCGGCTCCCGGCAAGGGACTCATAGATCGACTGTCTCCTGCATGCCCCACACTGGGGATCAAGCCTGAAACCCAGGCATGACGGGGAATCGAACCATCACCTCCTGGTTCATAGGTCTACGCTCAACCACTGAGCAACACCGGCTGGACAGTACTGAACTTTTTTACAAAAGAATCCTGCCAATCAGCATAAAGAGCAGTGATTTAACGTTGTGTATCATTTGTGTTGGTTTGTAGCTTTGCATATACTTATTTTAATTGTATTTAAGTTAGTCCCATGGAAACTGTAAACTTACAGTTTACTCAGATTTATATTGTATAGATTTGCATAACATTATAAAATTAACACATATTGGTTAAATAATTAACATAAAAATTTAATACTTGAGGTGTGTGGCCCATGAAATCAGAACTCAGAAAAGAAAAAAAAAAAAAAAAAACAGGTTAAATCTTCTCTCTGTATTTTGCTGTGCATCGTGGAAAGTCAAATGCCCTCAGCTCTATCTCTTCACAGTCAAATAAGGATGATCATCCGATCTTCAGAGGACCATTGTGAGGACTGAAGGAAACAATGATTATCACTGCTAGTGAATGCCTTCTTGGGTATAGTATGCTTTGGTTACAATAAGGGCTCTGAATCAAGAGTTTAGGCTTTTGGCCTACATTTCTATGCCACCTTGAGCAAATCATCTTACCTCTATGGGAGTCATATCCCAATTTCCTAAAGCTAGGAGGTGTGTCAGATTATCTCACAGTTCCTCCTAAAATAGCTATAACAGAGGGTGGTTGGGTTTTCCATGTCATACCCATAGTTACTTGGTTGTCCATTAGCTTTATTTTAAACTTACTACTCTGAAAAGTAAAATAAAAAAATTAAAATTCACTTGTGATCGATGCAGCAATTTGCAAAAAGGATTAGAAAAGCTAAATTACCCTATCTATCAGACAGATTTGATATTTCTTTGCTTTGTTGTTTTCTCCGGTATAATGGAGACAGAACTCATATTTGAGCCTTCTTTCTGTACTTGGATGTAGCATCGTAGGCAAATCAAATGACCTCTCTACACTGCCTGCACTGCTTACAAAGCAGGCTCTGGACACAGACTTGTGGATTCAAATCCTGAGTCCACCACTTGTTAGCTGTGCAGCAGCCTAGGGCAAAACGTTATGTTTTGTGACACTTACTGAAGTAATAGTTGTAAAGCGCTCAGTCTGGGACTTTGGGAAAAGCTCAGTGAATGTTGGCTATTATTAGTATTATTATGTCCCTTCCCTTTCATCCTTGGCTTTCCGGTTCTGGAAGCAGAGGCTGAATACTGGAAGCGTGAAGGGGCAATAAGAAAACTGGGGAAAGTAAACGAGGAGTGGCAACCAAGACTCGATGCAAAGCAGACTAATAGCAAGAGCAGCCATATCATGCAAGTCGGGAAGCTTAGATTGGATCTGGGTCCCACAATTTTCTGGCTTTGTACATTTCACTAAGTTATGACCTGAGTTTTTGTTTCCTCTGCTCTAAACTCAGGCTAGTAATTCTTATTCTACTTACTTCAGTGTAAAAGTTCAGAAACAAATATTCACTATACACAAAAACACTTCCTAAAGTCTCATGTACTGAACAAGGAAGTTTTTCTCTTTGATGTATACATTTTTTTTCCTGGTATATAGCTCTTCTTTTTTTTTTTTTTAAATTGATTTAAGGTATTACATATGGGGGGGAAGAGCTAATTCTACTTCTCACCTAGCAAACCGTGCTGACAGTTTTTTAAACCCTCTGGGCACATGCACCTTCTGGGTGATTATAGAAGCAACAGCCGCCCTGGATTGCAGGTTTACCATATGCCACGTATTGCACGAGGTTCTGAGCGACCTCTTTCGTTTAGTGCTCACAATTTTAAGGCAGACATTCTGTCCACTTAACAGATGGAAAAACTAAGGCTGAGACAAGTTAGAAACCTGCCATCCGCCCTGTGGTGCAGAGGTCCTATAAACATCTAACCATAAAGCAGAGTTGTTGTCTTTTAATATATTTTTTATTGATTTCAGAGAGAAAGAGGGGGAGAGAGAAAAACATCAATGATGAGAATCATCCATTGGCTGCCTCCTACACGCCCCCCTACTGGGGTCCTGGGGATCAAGTCCACAACCCCGTGCCCTTGACCAGAATCCAACGCGGGACCGACACGCTACCCACTGAGCCAAACCGGCTAGAGAGTTGTTAGCAACCAACAGAGATAAAACTGTTTATCTCTAATCACCAGCTTCCCCGCAACTATTAGGAACGTCCATCTACGTCCAGTCAGCCCAGGCGGCTTGCTGAGCTGAACGAATCCGCGCATCCCCTCCGCGACCCTGCCAACGCCCCGCCCAAGCCGGAGAGGCGGAAAACAGCGGACCCCTACCTGCACCGCCTTTAGCTGCACACTGCGCCTGCGCGCTGAGAGCGCCCGGATTTCCTGTCCGCGCTCCAGTTCCTCCCGGATACTGTCGACCAATGAGGTGAGCCCGGAGGCGGGCCACAGCCCTGCAGGCTCCTCCCCCGCCGGGAGCGTCCGGAGCCGCGGGGGAAGGTCCGCGTGAGGCTCTGACGGCCCCGCGGAGGCGCATGGCGGCCTCCGGGGCGCTCGGCACTTTCCGTCTCCCGCCGTTGCCCACGATTCGAGAAATCATTAAGTTGTTCAAACTGCAAGCGGCGAAGCAGCTCTCCCAGAACTTCCTCCTGGACTTGAGGCTGACAGGTGGATGGCTGCCCCCGCCGTGGGGGCGCGGGGCGCGGGTGTCCGGGGTCAGGCCCAGGCGTACACGCGGCCCGCAGTCAGGCCCTTCCTCCACTTGCTGCTAAAAGACCCCGCGCCCCGCAGACGCGAGCAACGCGTTGTGGCCTCGGACCCCCGCGCTCGGGCGTTTGCGGGCTCTGCGGGCGGGCGGGCGACGCAGCCCCGAGGGGAGCAGGGGCGGTGCCGGGGCAGGCGGGTGTGGGCGGTGGAAATCGGCTGCGTTGACACTGAAATGGGGCTGCACGTGCCGGCTAGGTTACCTTTCCGCGCGGTTACCCGAGTTTAGATTTGTGCAGGGTTAGTTTTTTTGTGGGGCTTTTTAAAAATTTTTTTTTATCAGTAACTTGTCGCAAAAGAGTGTCAAACGTTTACTTGTTGCATCTAAGAAGTCCCCGAGGGCGCAAGGACTCCTTGGGGGATGCATCTCGAACAAATCCTGCAGGTGCTGGAGCCGGAAGTCGGAGTGAAAAGGGCCAGGTCTGCCCGCAAGGGGCTGAGGTTTTAGTAAGTTTATGTCCCGCTCCGGCTGCACAATGCAAGTCACCCGTGCGGCGCACAGTTGCATGCGTTTTGCACGTGTGCACATTCGTTTAACCACCACCATTTCCTAGGGATGTTCCCTTCCAAAGGACGAGGCTGCAGGAACCGATGACACGTGTCCGCTGATGTCAGTGTCGGAGCACATTCCGTTTTTGAGGTTTTGATACTCTCTTTGGCCCCTCTTCAGATCAGTGCATCCCACCCAAAAAGTTCTTTTTCAGTTCAATCAAGTACCGTCCACAAAGCACAACTAAGAAGTTCTATTTCTTGGGCTTGGAGCCTTTATTCTGCCACAAGTAAATAGGACTTGGGGTAAAATACCTTAATTCTGCTTCAGTTTTTTAATCCGTTGATTGAAGGAAGGTCCTACAATAAATAAGACCCACCGCTACAGTTATTTGGCTCTGGCAGTAACCAGCATCAGCCTTTTTTGCCAGTCATTAGCCACATTCTAGGTATAAAGCACCCTTCTCAGGACCGAAAGTGTAGGTCTTTATTATTTTTAAAAGATTTCTTCATTTGTCTTTTCTCATTGAGCCTTTTATTCTCCCCTGGGAGTAAATTCCAGAATCTAGATACTCTCCTCTCTTCTATGGGAACCAAAATGAAGGGACATTAAGGTACTTGTCTGAGGTGAGAAGCTCAGTGGGAGCAGAGAAGACTGAACCCAGGCCTAGTGACTCACCTGTGCCTCTGTGATGGCATTTGTACTTGAAGAAGGCACTGCCCTGCCTGCTGTCGCTGCTCTCCACTTTTAAGAGAGAGAATATTAATTCACTCCATCATGCCTGTGCTCAGTGGATCGCCTCTGTTCCCTCTGGGAGGCAGTGGTCCGAACCGGAGCCAGGATCGGCTTTGGAATTTACACCTGAGCTGGAGCCCCCTGCTCTTCCCCTTGGTTTCTAGATGACCTTGTTCAGATACAACAGGCGAGGGAGATGAAAAGCGCAGAGGAGTTGAAGTGGGACAGTGAGGATTTGTGGTGAGAAAGCATAGGAAGCACCTGTGCCAGACAGACGGCCCGAGGGTGCTGAGCCCCGCCTGCACCTGTAATAGACAAAGCTGTTTTGCGATGGATGAGAGCCTTTCTCGCTCTAAGCCTACAGAGGTCAGTTCTCAATAACAGACGCAAAAATGGGACTAGACGGTGTCCCGGAACACTGCCAGGAAGTGCTGTTTGTTTTCAGTGACTACATTGCCGACACTGCCAGGCGGCCCACTTGCTTGGGTTTTAGTAGCTCAGTCAGTAAGACCAGCCGGTTGTGTTTCAGAGTGATAATTGGTTGCATTGAATCCCCAGTAATCTGCTTTTCCATGATTTCTTAAGGTCGGCTAACTTAAAGAAGTAGATTAATATTTTAAAATGTTAACTTTTCCATATCAACTCGAATGTTGGCAAAGCTTAAAAACCTCCACTGCTAAATTTAACTTCTAACTGAAAACGACCAAGAACCCCAATTTCTGCAAGTCTTAGGATCTAGGAACTTGTTGCCAGTGCCCTATTGTCCAGCAACCAGAGATCTGGAGGTGAAAATGGAGACTGCCCGCACTTTTTGCTTCTGGATCTTAAAACAGCAACATTGAAAATTCTAATGTGAAACTAGTCTTGTCCATTCCAATGTCCGATGCTCAACAGGTGTTAAGTGGTACATGCTTAACCAGCCCATTCTTCTAGGAAATGATTGGTTTGGAGGAGGAACACAGTAATCCTATTCTTTGTTAAAGGACTGGTACTTCTCAACTGTGATGAGATAGAATGATGAATGGCCACTATGTATGGGTTGAGGTTGAGAGTTAAATAATTGGCATTAATATTGTATAAAAAGGATTAGTTGATGAAGTAGTGGCTGATAAGAATTTGTATTGATTATTTTTTTAATGCCATGCATTAAAATTTGCCAAGATAATCAAGATAACTGAGACTTTCTTTTCTCCAGATAAAATTGTGAGGAAAGCTGGCAATCTGACGAATGCGTATGTGTACGAAGTAGGCCCCGGGCCAGGGGGAATCACCAGATCCATTCTCAATGCCGGCGTTGCTGAGCTTCTGGTGGTGGAGAAGGACAGTCGCTTCCTTCCTGGACTGCAGGTGAGATGCTTAGTGTCTTTTTAAAAACCCAGTTGAAATCTTTAGGCCAAGACTTAAGCCCCACCATCCCTGAGGATTCGATCGGTTACGGTCCCCAGGCTCCATCCCAGAGATTTGATTCGTTGTCCGGAGGCCTAGAAGGCTGCGTATCTAACGCATCCTCACGTGGTCCGTTGACCAGGATCGAATGAACCTGCTATTGTAAAAACACGAAACAAACTCACTGTTCTGTGTCACCTTTCTAAAAATCTAATATCTGCGGGCGTTATGGCCCATCCCTGGAAAAATAAATAAGGATAAGTAATGGTAAAAATGACTCAGCATGACTTCTGAGAGCTTCATTTAGTTCAGAAAATTATTTCTACAAGCAGAAGATGGAGAAGACATTGGCTTAACTGCGAGACTAATAGTTAAGCTCTTAGGCATTCATAGAAGAGCATTTTTAAAGTGAAGGGATGGAGTAGTACCACTTTGTGCATAGATTCAAGATGAGGTGTGAATGAAGTGATACGTGCATCTTCAAAACAGTCTTCAAAACAGTAGGTACTGTTATTGCATGAGAATTACTTGAAGGAACTGGGCACTTTTCAGCTAGACAAGAGAAGCCTTGAGTGAGGGAATTCAAAGCCGCCTATCAAGGTTGGCGGGGAGAGGATAAACTTGTTTTGATCTTTTCAAGGAAAGAATTAAAACAAATAGGTGGGAAGTGAAGAAAGCAGGTGCAGATTTAAAATTAAAAGGGACAGCCCGGGCCAGATAGCTCGGTTGGAGCATTGTCCCATGTACCAAAAAAGGTCGCAGGTTTAATTCCTGCTCAGGGCACATACCTAGGTTGTATATTCCATCCCTGCTCAGGTATTTTCTCTCTCCCTCTCCCTGGCCCCCTCCTGCATCTCTCTGTCCCTTCCTATCTCTCTAAAAATCAGTAGAGACATATTCTCAGGTGAGGATTAAAAAAAATAGTAAGAAGAAGGGACATACATTTTAAAAACGTTGGCAAACAGTGATCTTTTTTAAAAAAATATATTTTACAGAGAGGAAGGGAGAGGGATAGAGAGTTAGAAACATCGATGAGAGAGAAACATCGATCAGCTGCCTCCTGCACACCCCAACTGGGGATGTGCCCGAAACCAAGGTACATGGAATGGAACCTGGGACCCTTCAGTCCGCAGGCTGACGCTCTATCCACTGAGCCAATCCTGTTAGGGCCAGTGATCGGGACACTTAATGATTGAAGGGCCTTTGATTCCCCCAAACTAAAACTTTAAAGAGCCTTTAGCAATTTATTAAAGGTGAGTCCAATAGAATAGTCAAATTATCTGCATGATTATTTTCATACCAGAGGAACAGTTGGTTTTAAATTAGCGCACTCTAATACTTACGTGTATGTGTATCAGTGGGAAAATATTTAATTTCTGTCAGAACACTCTGAGAAAATTTATTTGAAAATCTAGGGCTGTATGTGCATACATCTGATTTTTAAAAGAAACAGTGATTTTTTTTCTTACTATTTTGCTATATCCCGATATTTACTTGGATCTAATTTTGCCAGTCTTTATTGACAGAATTGTTTTCAGACTTATAAGTTTATTTGTGGATATTATGTGGTACATGTTCCCTGATCACATGTGGACTTTAATATTGAATTTTTGCTTTGAGCTGCTTTCTTATTTTAAGAACTGTATCTCAATTGGAAGTGGAAGTGGGGATATTATTTTGGGTGAGATCATAAGATGAGAAAAAGAAACTGAACGGCACTACATAATCTCTCAGGCTTAGTCATCCAGCCCTTTGTGGACCTAGGGACTACTCCTCTGATATTTGGCTCTTAAAGAGACTTCTTAACCCTCAATCTCACCCAATATGACCTGCAGTTCTTTCTCATTGGGCAGGGAGGTGAATCACATTTCTGTCCGTCCCCATCTTAATTCACATATTCTCTCTGATTTCAACTAAAGATCTGCGAAGACAGGCTTTAAAAAAACAACTGCACCCTTTTTATCTCAGCTGTGCTCCCCACAAGTCCCCGCACTCCTAACCCACCTTGCTTTATTGTCTCATTAGCTTTGCCGTCATCTGACACTGTCTCTGTGTTCTTAGGTGTTTGCTGTTTCTTGCTGCATCTCTACCATGTGTGAGTGAGTGCCCGGCACATAGCGGGTGCTCAGTAAAGCCTCACTCAGGAAATAAGAAGGTTGACTCTCTGTGTATATATCCGATTAACTGACTAAGTGTGTCGTTTAACAGTGAAAGTGAATAATTGTGTAGCATTCATTATCAAAAAGTTTTGTGCCCTTTTTCTAAATATAAGTAGGTTAATTTCCAGGTAAATTACTTTGCAAAAAATGTATATTTGACTTAGATGTTGCTGTAGAAGAAGCATGATTCTTGGTGCCTTGTGTGCAGGAAGGGAGTCTGCCTTAAAAAGAAATGCTGGATACTAAAATATCAAATAGACTTCTTTTTCCTGTAAAGAATGTTTCAATATGTAAAACCACTTTCCTTTCGAAGTACTAAATTAATCATAAAACCGAGTACGGGCAGGAGGAGAGCGACCTATTTTAAGGGTTCCATTTTAGTGACTTCTAAGCTAATAGAATTACTTTTTAAAGAAATTGTAATAATTTATGAAATGTCTTCTAGTTGAAAGTATGTCATTTGTAGCTTAATTCAATTCTTATACTGTTATCAAGAGGCAGCTTAGAGGAAAGAACACGGTGATGATGGAGGTCTCAGTACCCACATGTAGTAAAGGAGGAACATCTCTAGTCTGTGAAAGCACTATAGACCGTTGTATGGTGAAGAACTCGGACTCGAGTGTCAGACTCTCTGGGTTCAACCTCAGGCTCTACCATGTACTAGTTGTGTGACCTTGGCGGGTACCCATCTCTCCGTCACTTTGCCCATAGGACTGTTGTGAGAATTAAATGAATACTTCCTATTTAGTAAGCAATTAGTGCAAATTTTTATATAATTAATCAATTAAATGATTAACCTCATGCTTTATACACCCCTGTTAATTAAGGATTGATCAGGAGGTGCTGATCTGGAAAGAGGTATAGGAGAGAAAAGTCATGTTATTTCTTTGGACTAAAAAAATCCTCAGTGCTGTGTAAACAGTGGGGCTTAGAATTTCTCCTACATTTTCTTCCAGGTTATTATATAGCTATAGCGCTTTGTTTGGTATTTTAGTGCTTTATTGAAGGTGTGTGGTATATGTCTTGACATATCCCAGTGTATCTTTAAGTGTTAGCATACAAACCTACAGTAGTCTACTTGCTTCTCTCCTTTGAATGCTCATTGTCATACTTCCCCATATGTTACACAGTTCACCATACAATGTGATTTTTCTTTTAAAAGTCAATTCTGTGTTAAAGAGATTACTATTCTGTGTGTATTTCCATCTAGTATCATTTTCCTATTACCTGAAAGATTTTCTTTAGCATTTCATGTAGTGTAAATCTGTTTGTAATATATCTATCGGCATTTATATGTCTGAAAAGTGTTTTGTTTTGTCTTCATTTTTTGAAACACATCCTGGCAGCATCCTTTCACTACTCGTAAGGTTTTGTTCCCCTGTCTTCATATGTTGCTTCTAACAAGAAATCTGTCATCCTTATCTTTGCTCCTCTGTCTTTTTTCCTCTGGCCTTTATATTTTTCTCTTTATCTGTTTTGAGCAGTTTCATCATGATGTGCCTTGGTGTCATTTTCTTCATGTTTCTTGTTCATGGGGATCGTTGAGCTTCTTGGATCTGCAGGTTTTCCTGTGTTCTCTGATGTCCAATGTCTGCATATTGTTGTTTCAACTGTTTTGGTTTATTTAAGGCAAAAGAGTGTATTTGATCCCTTACAGTCCATCTTGTCCAGGGTAAGCAGTTCCTTTAAATTAAAGGCTTATTTTGTGGAATTTTGGAAATAGGAAGGCAGTGGTTATTGTTAGTATTATCTCTGGGTTTTATAACAGGTAAACAGAGTGATTATTTCTACTTGACAAAGTGGAAAGTTCACAAAATGGAGACTCAAATAGGCTGGTGTTCAAATCTCAGGTGTATCACTAGCTTTGTGACCTCGAGCTTATTGTTGAACCTTTTTTAGCTTCAGCTTTTTCATCTGGGAATAATAGTTACCTTGGGTGGTTATTGCAAAAATAGACAGGAATTTATGTAAAGAGCCTGGTATATATTGCAGTAGCCAATCAGTGGTTGCTGTTATAATTACTCCCCTTCTCGTCATCCTGTACAGGGACATAAAATATAATATAGTCATCCTGGCAGAAGGAGCTGTTTTTAATCAGAGATGATAAAATGTTGAAATTCTTTCATCTCTACCAAACTTTTAAAAGGGAAGACTGCTTGACGTTCTGCTATGAGATGATTATATATTTTGTACATGTAACTTACTTGATGTAGCTATAGCCATATTAATCATAACGTAGACAAAAACAACAAGTAAACAAAAGATAGCTTACAGCAGAGTGATTTCCTGGTCCACTGCGCCTCAGGTTAAAGGTATAGAGGTCAGTGCTCGAAGCAGACCCTCTGACAACAGCAAGAAGTAACAGTTATTACTGTGGCAGAACAGCTATAAAAAGCAAATATAAAAACTGGGGGGAAAAGCACAGTCATAAGGGTCATAACCATTGAGGCCATTACTCTACAGGCAGAAATGAAGAAGCCATCAAGAAAAGGGTGAAATTGGGTTCATTGTACTTGCCTTAAAGAAGAGAATTGTGCCATATAGTTTATAAAGATTTCCATATATGTCTTTTTAAGAAATATTAACACTTAAAGGAGTAAACGCTCGTTGAAAAGAAAACGTAGGAAGTCAAACATCTAATTCCTTCATGAGGCTGAGTAAATGAGCTTCTATATGTATTCTGGTCCTGTTTAAAAAGCAAAGCAAACTGACCTTTGGAAATCATGCTGTAATCTTCACCCTCAAAAAGTCTATTGTAGTGTCTTGAATTTTTTTTAAATGTCATTTGTCTTTTCTATGTAT